GTTGTTGTCTTTCTGTGATATTGCAAGTGTTCAACTCACACGCAACTTTTTTTTTTCTTTTTTGGTTGGTAAGAACAGCAATTTCGTTTACAAGCCAAAAAAGTCCGATAGATAAACAGTGTTTTTGTTTTGTTTTGTTTTGTTTATAGATGTATTTGATTACGGTTGCACTGCCAGTTATATAAGTAAGAAAGTATCGCTTTCTAAATTTCATGAACAAAGAAGATTAGAGGACTAATCAAATCTAATCCATTCTAGTATGTCTTGAAAACGTTCAAATATCAATCACTAGAAGACAAATAAATACTATATATATTTGATAGTCTATGTGATTGATGTAATAAGCTAGTAACGTATTTATATTCTTACGCATATTCCATTCATTTGGCTTATGTGTCGGTTTTATTGATATGATAGTACTACTCTCTTTAGTTGTAGTTTATGTAGTTTCTTAATTATGTCCATTAACTATTACGGCCGAATCTTTAAATAGTTTGCGTGTATAAAAATCTTCAACTTCTTGATAAGTATTTTCTAAGTATGTGAATAGCAAGTATGTTTCTTTTTGTTCTTTATGATTTTTGGACGATATATACTCGTTGGACTTTTTTTCCCCACAAAGGAGAAACTTCAGTCATTTGTAAATTTAGATTTTAATAGTTGCATGTTCTCTACGATGTTGGAGTTTGAGTTTTGCATTACCCGTGAAAAGTAAGATATACCTCCATGCCTGATAATAGATATTTAAGTTTTAGTATGCTCTCATGACGTTATTTTACTCAAAAGGATAGACTTTAAACTTATGAATATCCTATTAAAGAATAAAGATTATTAACGTAATTATGAAAGAAGAAGTCTGTCTCGGGACCCTGATATCGAGTATAAAAGTTATTGATAAATTAAAGAAAGACCTATGAAATAAATTCAATCGAGGAAAAAGGTCAAATAGTCAAGAAAGGCACCTATCCACCTGACAAGTTACACGTGCTTCAATGATGCATCCACGCTCTTTCCTCTCTTTTCGACTAATATATTTATTTCCTACTTAATCACTGATTTGATCAGTTTAGTAACTCAGTAGCTCGTATGAATTTCTTATTTTACACCCTCACATCACATTATTCCGAACAAATTATGTTTTTTACTACGGATACATTTAACTATTCGAGAAATCTAAAAGCAAATTCGAACAAAACAATAACCATATTGTATATTGTTATATCACAAAAAATCATTCAGATTTGCTAAATTTAATCGTGTAAACTGGATTTGTATCATTTTCACATAAAGAGAAGCAGAAAATCAATAACTTC